TCTATGCCCTGAGCTTCGGTCTGGAGGTGGGCAGTGTGGTTCACCAGCAGCGCTCTAGAATTTTGGTTGGTCATTGAATGGGTCAGAGGCCCCAAGGCTTTCAGAGCTATTTGTCTTCACAGTGTTATTATCCCTGTGTACATTGTTTTCCTGGTTCTGCTTACCTAACTGTGCATCAGTTCATATAAGTTTTCCCATGTTTATCTAAAACCTTTCTCTTTTCTTAGAACACAGTTGTATCCCAAGCTTCCAGAATGCTCTTCTCTTACAAATGGGGCTTCCCCAAAGCCCTGGGGCAGAAGGAACCCCCTTGGGCAAGTCTCTGAGACTCCAGTTCCCCCTCTATAAAATAGCGATGATATTAGCACCCGCCTGACCGGGTGCTTGTGAGGATGAGGTGAGATAATATGAATCAAGTGCCCGGCAAACCTTGAAGGTTACAGGAATGCTGCTGCTGCTGTCTCTGTTGCTGTTGAACCCCAAGCCCACCCCTACCTCCACCTACCCGACCAGGCCTTTCCAGTTATATTCATAAATCTTTTTTAAAGACCCAAGAGGCTTTCACAGGAACAGAGAATTTCAGGGCAGGAGCAAGGAATTTGTTCAGGACTCATCTTGAGGAGGAGAGAAAATACTTGCAGATAGTGAGACAAAGTAGTGACCAGTGGAGACCTGACCCCGCAGGGTTAGGCAGTAGTTTTAGGCCTTGATGAGGTGCTGGCCCAGGGCCCAAGCGCAAGTGGCCCATCTGTTCCCCAAAGCTGGTGCCAGGGGCAAGAGCCTGTTTCCTCAAGAGTCGCTGCTTTTTCCAGGTCCCAAATGGGCAGCTGCAGCTCTGAGAGACAGCCACACTGGTCAGCCACTTGGGCTGATTCCCCTGCTCCAGATGTTGGAAGGCCTTTTAATCAAAAGTGACGAACGCCTCCGTGTTCCATTTGAGAAAAGTGAAGACCAGAAGATCGGAGTACCTTAGGTGGCGTCACACGGCTAGGAACAGCAGGGTGGGACACAGATCTGCTCCCTCTAAGCCACCAGCACGCTGTCTCAGTCACTGAGTATACGAGTTAGGTGAGGGAGTGGATGCTTCCCATTGGTACGGGTTTGGGGTTTCATTGTGGGACTTTTTGGTAGAGAAGAAACATAACCCAGTATGAAATCTTGGGCAATCTCATTTCCCACGTAGGCACCAGCCCTCCCCACTCCCACAAGCACCAGCTCATACTTGTCATCACCTATCTCAGAGCAAGGATTAGCACCCGGGGAAAAAACTGATAAAAGAAACCATTCTTAAGCACTTAGCTTCACAGTCACAGTCGGCTGAAACAGTCCAAGGGCACGAGCCCAGGATGTGTCTGGTTAATCCTGAGCAAGCCTGTGGGTTTCTTTTACCGGCAGCCATCTGTGCCTGAGCGTGGAGAGATGGGCTGATGAGGGAGGGAGGGAAAGATTGAGGAGGGAAGATGGCTGCAAAACATTGCTAATACCCCCACTCAGGCTCAGGACACAGATCACAGGACTAAAGAAGGGAGATTTATTGCTAGGAGGCAACTTAGAGGTCATCAAATCTGCCCACCACCTCCCATTTTACAGATGAGGAAACTAAGGCTGAAAGGTTAAGTGATTTATCCAGGGTCATGCAGCTACTAAGTGTCTAAGGCAGGATCTGATCATGGGGTCATAGATCTGGACCTGGAAGATTATCCAGCTCAGCCCCTCCATTTTACAGATGAGAAAACTGAGTCCCAGGAAGATGAATATATGTTAAATACATATGTTTATAAATATTAAGGTTTTATATATATGACATATAGGTAAGTTATTATAATAATAAAAATAAATAATATATGGGCCCATATGTGTCAGTTATTATTATCTATAAAATGAGAATAAAATCCCCGCCCCTTACCTCACTGGGGTATTTGTGAGGATCAAATGGGACAGTAGAAAGTGATTTGTCATCCATGAAATACTCTACACACGCCAGGCATTTATTACAGATCAGCATCTCAGAAGCTTAGCTGTCCATCCCTAGCTCGGGAGAGCCTGGCCACAACTTGCCCCAGACAGGAGGTTTTAGCTGTGTAAATAGTGCTTAGGGGATAACCCCACCCTCTCATTGTAAGTAAGGTGTTCCCGATGGCCCCAAGTTGGATTGGAGCACTTGGGAATCCTAGGCTATTAGCATCATGAAATCTCGAACGTTGGTCACAGAATTCTTGAGTTATGGAATGCTCAAGCCCCAGAACCCCACAATGTTAAGCTGTCAGCTAGGTGGTCTTAGAAATCTAGGACGTCTGATTTGGAGGGGGGTTCCCGTGGCGTTGGGGTACCTAGGGGGAGAGTGGCAAGCAGAGATGCCAAGTGCGATGCCCAGTCAGCCAGTCAACTGTAGAAGGGCTGGGACTGGATCCGGGGTCTCCCCTCAACCCCACTTCATATTATTCTGAAAAGTTTGGGTTTTGTATTTTATTCTAAAAAAAAGTGAGGGTGTAGAGTCCTGGAAGAGGAGACAATGATTTACTTATTAAGTTTCTGCTACACAGCAGGCACCATGCTGGGTACTGAGATGCAAAAGCAAGACACCAGAAGCTTGCCTTCTAATAGGCTGAGAAAACGTTCACTAGGAAATAAAGAAGGAGCAGTGAAAATAAGGGAAAGTGATTCGGTGAGGCCAGGCCACCAAGGACTGAGGAAGTCCCAAAGGCCTTGGAAGGAGGCAGCCCGTGAGTGGGGCCTGGGAGGAAGCTGGAAGCTACAAGAGAAGGGAGCAAGAGGGGAGAGCGTTCCACGCCTGGAGGACAGACTGAAGGTGAGACGGATGAGGTGAGATGTTTGAGGAACAGCAGCTAGGCCAGTTTGGATAATCAAGGCGGCACATGCTGGTTGGACAGTCAAGTCAACGGGCTGTGTAGAGTAAGTGAAAGAGAGTCGTGTGGCATCCACCTGGCACATTAGTTTGGGGCCCATTTATAAAGGGCTTTAAATACCAAGCGCAGGAGTTGGCGCTTTATCCCGCAGGCAATAGAGAACCACTGGTGTTATGAAAGTGAAGGGTCAGTGGTGATGGGGTCAGACTGGCGCCTTGGGAATCTGACTCTGGCAGCTGTGTGAAGGATGCATTGGAAAGGAGAGAGAGGAAAGGGAAATGAAGCAGCAGAGACTGCAGTGATCCACGCAGGAGGCAGTGACGGCCCAAAGGTGGGCTGTGGCCGTTTGAATGAAGAGAACAGGACAGACACAGGAGCTGTGGAGACGGAATCAGAAGACCTGGCCACTGATTGGATAGATGGCTGATAAAGTAGAGGGAAGAGTTCAGGATAACCCTAAAGTGTTGGACCTGTGGAACTAGAGAGAGACAGAGACACAGAGACAGACAGACAGAGAGAAAGGAAAGAGAGAGGGGAGAGAGAAAGAGGGGGAGAGAGAAGAAAGGAGAGAGAGAGAAAGAAAGGAGAGGGAGGGCGCACCTATGAAACTAGTCAATTGGTTGAGTACTAGAGTCAGAAAATTATTTGCCTTGGGTCTCACAACCAGTTAATGGCAGGCAACTAGCCATCGCTAGAACCTAGATCTTTAGACTTGTACAGTAACGGACATACAGAATTTCAGAATTAGAAGGAAAACTACCCAAGTATCCAGAAAAGATCCCTTTCTGCCCACGTGGGCTACCCCCACCCACAAGTTGCTATACCACCAGTGAGGAAAGAAACACAGAGAATACTTGTGACCAAGAAAGATGGAAAATGCACGTGTAGGGGACCAGCGTGGCCAAGGCAAATCATGCTTCCATCTGTCGGCCACTGACGTGCTCTGGCGGGTCCATTGCGCTGTTCTCTGTAGGCGCTGTTTGTCCGGTCTCCTCTCAGTACTGGGCAGCTCACTGTATAGCACATCTTGCGGTCACTGAGCTGCTCTCTGCTAACATCTGCTGCATGTCAGCTCTTCAGAGACATCTACTGGGCTCTCTTACTCCTTCCTCTAACAAGGATAGGCTGACATTTCTTAGCTGAGGCTGTGAGGCACCACACCCACCTAGCCAACGGAATAGTGCCATAGACTAAGATTGTCATTTTTTATTGCCTCTGTCCAGTGCTGATTCAAGTTTCATGGTCCGGGAAATTGTCTAATTTGGGATTCAAAAATTCCTTGCAACTCTTGTTGAATCCCTGACTGTAAATTTGTGCCTGTAGTACCCAATTCGAGGGCTTGGATTCTCAAACCTCTGGCAGCCTCATTCCCAAGGTCCTCTTTGATTGGCACACAAATCAAACTTGGGGAAGCAAAGTCCACATTCCTGCTTTTTTTTTTAAGGAAGTATTTCTGCCTCTCTGAGAGGCAAGGCTGCGTGATGGAAGGAGCACAGGTCTGGATCCAGTGGGTGAGAAGCATCTCAGGGTTGGGGTTGGCCCCTTTTGTCAGCTACACCCTCACTTCTGCTGCCTTCAGTCTCAGATTTGGAATCTGAGACCAAGATTAGAATTCCAGATCTGCAGCTTTCCCCAGTCTGACCCCCAGGTGTGGGTCAGATGACCACTCAGATCCCTCTCAGCCCTAATCTATGATCCCTAGGGTGATGCCTGGTTCCTCTTTTCTCCTGGGTGACCCATTCAAGTCTGGGAGTTGGGCTGGCAAAGCATTGCCAGGATGTCAGCATATGCCAGGCTTCCCCAGCCCTCCTGCTTCCATCCTCTGACTCCTCGGGTCTCCTTTCCTATCTTCTTGGCCGCTGCCTCCTAAGGCTTTGGAAAGTCATGTTTGGGAAAATCGTATCAAGCCTCACTCTTCAGGATAATCTTGTTCCCTTTGGAAGGAGATTCTAATGGGAATCACAGCAGAAGTTTTCAAATGGTGGCAGGAGGAAGAAGAGAAAGGGAGGGAGGGAGGGAGGGACGCGCAGGTTGGGATTTGCCTGCCAAAACTGCTGAGAGACCCTTCCACCAGTTCCCTCTGAGTCCTTTCTCCGGCTCCATTTTAACTACTCTTTCTCTCCTTGTATCCAGTTTGAAGGATGCAACAAGGCCTTCTCTCGGCTGGAGAACCTGAAGATTCACCTCCGGAGCCACACAGGGGAGAAACCCTACCTGTGCCAGCATCCCGGCTGCCAGAAAGCTTTCAGTAACTCCAGCGACCGGGCAAAGCACCAGCGCACTCACCTGGACACGGTAACTCCCCACAGCCCACGCCAGCCTTGAGAAGGGCAAGAAAAGAGGGGGAAGGAAAAAGTCAAGCAGGAAGATGAAGGAAGGCAGGATTCTGGAGTTGGTGGGAGGGGGGTGTCAAAAGTAGACCTTCCCTCTTCCTTTCAGAAGAATCTTTCTAGCAGATTCACCAAAAATGACCAAGCCTACATGTAAACCATCCCGCTTCCTTATTGCACTTATTGAAACAATGTCCCAACCATCCCACTTCCTTATTGTACCTAGTGAAACAATGTATCACCCTGTCATCCGTTTCTTTGTTCCCCCCCTGCAGTACTGTGCCAATCATCCCATTTCCTTACTTCTCCCACCAAAAACAAAACACAAACCAAGCTGCTTCCTTATTTCTCTCCTAGAGCTGAGAATTCGCCATTCCATTTCCCTCTTTTTTTCCTGCATCCCTTTCAAACAGGAGAGGAGGGAGGGAGTTGGTCCAAAGAACCTGGGTGACCTCTGGCTCTGGGATTTTGGGCCATTCTTTAGCAGGCTGAATCTTTCCCTGTCCTCTGACTTCCCCCCACTACTTCTCTCCTGTAGGGGAATGAGTTGGGCCAGTGCATTGCAGGGGAAGCTTCAGGTTCCCATGAGGCAGCTGGGCCAGTCCTATACGGCCTGAACAGAACCTCATGGAGTGAAGGGGCAGGGAGGAGGAGGGCAGGGTTCTGACCAGGCTCACAACTTGGTCCCTGCAAGTCTTGGTATGAACAAGGGCCTACCTCTCCCCTCTTTCTGCAGAGGCCCTACAGAAGCTGAGGTTGCTTCCACTTGGCTGGGCATCCCTCCATGAGGCTTAAAGTCATTAACATGGCACAAGGAGGGGGGGCTCTGTTAACTTCACGTAACCCCCATCAGACTCCTGTCTACTGAAAAAACTTGGCATCTTGGCCTGCCCTGATTGAGATAATAATAACAAGAATGAATTTATACATATATAATTAATACTCATATTTTGGATATGCCATTTTCTGCAAGCCGTGGGACTCCAAAGTTCCAGAAAATTTTTAAGTGAGCGTCACACAGGGACAGTGGAGGAGGTGTATGATGGGTGTTCGAGCGGGTGCCACCACATAATAAATAACTCAAGGAGCAGGATTTATTAAGCACCTTCCATGGTCTGGACACTGTCCTAGGCACTGGAAATACAAAAGTCAAGAAATCCTGGAACAGAGGGTGTCATCAGTGAGATGTAGAGGAGATGGGCTGGCCACATATCCAGAGACGGGAGTGACCAATGGACAGTACCCAGCATGCTGAGCTGCTCTCTAGAGGGGACTGCAAACTTGAGGAAGGTCCCCTAGGCAATGGGTCACACCACTTCTGTTCCCAGGTCTGTCTCCAATCCCTACTAACCACGGGTGGGAGCCAGGGCGTGGGTGGTGAGTCAGAGCTTTCCTCCTGGGGCCTTTCAGCCACTGATTGACAGGAGGGAGAGAAGGAGAGTGATGAGAACTTAAGGGGATCCAACAGAGAACGAAGGTCACTTGGTACGTTAAATTTGGAGTCAGGCGATATGAGTTTGAACCTGCCACTTAACCACCTATCTGGTTTTGAAGAAATCCCTTAAGCTCCTCTCCAATTTCCACATCTGTAAAATAAAGGGAATGACCGAACGGCCTCACAGGACCAGCTACACATGAACTATGGTCCTGTAAGCTCTGATCTCTTTAGGGGAGATGAGTTTGGGCTCATATGAGATGACACCATAATTTGCCAGAGGTCATGAAGAAGTTCAACAATCCCTTTGGGGACGTATTGTAGGAGAGACTCCAGTTCTGCTCAAGGTTGGCCCACCCAGATGCTCTCACAGGCCCCTGCCGGCCATGAGATTCTGAGATTTTATGAAGCTTGCACTGTGACATGAGTGAAGGACTGTAGCCCAGAGAAGTGAGGAAAAAAAAGATGGGAAGCTAAGAACATTTCTTCCCTCCTTCCCCAACCATGAGTTAATTCATCAGCCATTTTCCAAAGAGTCTCATGTCTGTCAGTCAGACAGTTAACAAGCTTTTGTGAAGTACCTGCTATGTGCTGGGCACTGGGCATACAAAGATAAAAAATTTAAATAGTCCTTGCTCTCAAGGGGCTTATTCTTTTGAGAGGTAGAATAGTTAAATCAGAGATGGAACGGATCTTAGAAATCATAGGGATAAATGTAAAGTCTTACAGGAGGGCTTAAAAAATCAATCGTCTTAGTATGGGATGAGGGAGGCATTTCCTGGGGAATTTTTGTGGCCATCAGGGCCCATGTGGCTTAGTTGAACAAGGTTTCAGGAGCCACTCTCCTGAGCTGGCCAGAAGGAGGGAGCTGATAACCAGGCCCATGGTCCCCTGCCCTGATTGCATCCTATTTGGAAGGTTGAGCCATTCTGGGTCCCCAAATTTAGGAAGGACATTGTTAAACTAGAGCATCCAGAGGACGGGGAAGGGCCTCAGATCTGTGCGGTATGGAATCCTTGGAAGGAAGGTTGACCTGGAAAACAGAAGGGTTTGAAGAGCTTGTCCTACAGAGGAGGGGTTAAACTGGTTTGGTTTGGTCTTGGAGGCCACACCCAGAAACAATAAAGGAAGGTGTAATTGAAAAGATTAAGGGAAAAAAAGAAACAAAAAGGGGCAGCTAGGTGGTGCAGTGGATAGAGCACCAGCCCTGGAGTCAGAAGGACCTGAATTTGAATTTCACCTCAGACACTTACTATCTTTGTGACCCTGGGCAAGTCACTTAACCCCTATTGGAAAAAAAGAAAGGAAGGATTTAGGCCCTCAGAGTCACAGAGAACTTATTAACAATTAGAGCTCTCCAAGAGTGGAGAAGTAGTGAGTTCCCCATCACTTGATGTCTGCAACAAAAAGCTGGATAACCACGCATTACCTGGGTCATAGCGGGTATTTCTGTGCAGGGTCAGGTTGGCCTAGACCACACTGGTTCCTTCCAACCCTAGGTTCTGTGAATCTCTGAACTGGTGCGACCCCTTCATTTTACAGAAAATCAGGCTTCCAGGGTGTCTCCATGGTTTGGCTGTCCTTGGCTAGTTTGCTCAGCCATCCGTAAAAGCAAAGTGGTTATTGTGACAGATGAACTATTTTCTCTTCCCCGTCTCTAACCTTGGACCCTTCGGCAGAAATTGGTGGTGTCTCCTCTGGGAGCCCCAGATGGTGTCACGATCCCTTCCCTCCAGTCCCTTCCTTTTGGGCATTTCTGGGTAGTCCCCCTCACCTGGGACCCAGACCCTCTACGGCTTGTTCCAGGTCCCTGGCTTTCCTCTTCTCCCTCATTTCATTTTGGGGCTTTCTAAAGCAACGAATCTCTTGTTACATCTTGGTGTGTAAACAGAGCATGAAAATGAAGGAATGGAGTCAGCCCTGAAACGTATCTGTGGGATGTCCAAGGATGTCAGGTTGTGACCAGGTGTCCTCTTCCCCAAGTGTCCAAGAGATGAATTCATTCAATAAGCATTCATTAAGCACCTACTGTATACCAAGAACCGCACCAGACAATGGACATACAGAGGCATAAATGAAATAACTGCCGTGCTCAAGGGGCTTCCAGTCTCCTGAACTCACAGCCATCCATCCAGCATTTATTAAACACCTGCTGTGGGCCGGCACCAGGTTAGCAGTGGGCGTACCTGCCCTCAAGGAGCTTACACTCTGCTGGGAGAAACAGCAGGATCCCACATAAGGAAATAAAAATTTACATACAAAGGAAACACAGGACGGTTTCAGAGGGCATCAGCAACTGGCAGGAATCACGATACCCATTTGTCCACACTGCACACGTTTATTAAATCTTTGCTGTGTTCGTGGCCGGTTCTCAGGGCTGGGCCAGGGAGAGAAATCAAGAGAACTAAGAGACAATTAAGAGAAATGAGGGCTCCTGCCCTTCAAGAGCTTACAGTTGTCAGTAAACATTAATTAAGCACTTGCTGTGTGCCAGGCACTGTGCTAAACACTAGGGATACAAAGAAAAATCAGAAACGGCCTGTGCCCCAAGGAGCTGCCGTTTAACCAGGATGGTCACTTCCTGACTCTAGTGCCTGGATGGGTCCTGGGATGTGAGCTTTCCTGATTTCTTGTTCTCTGGGGGCCGGCCATGCCCCTCACCAGATTATACCGGCTCACTCTCAGTTGTCGGAAGTGATTCAAGGGCATTACACAGTTCTGGTGTTTTCTGGAAGACTTGGAACGAAAGACTGATCAGCCGGTGGGCAAACAAGCTCCACCCCTGCTCCTGGATCCTTGTAGGGCCCTGGTGATCCCAGGAAGTGTGGGGTGCCGACGGTGACGCTCCGGTGTGGAATTGTGGTCCCCTTGCTAGCGGCTTCCTCCCTGCCAGAAGCGGGTGGGTCTTAGGCGCCGCTTTGTCAGGCCCTCATCAGCACAGCCTACCTCTCCGTCCTTCTTTCCTGGCCAGCCAGGAATCTGACTTCTCCTGGGGTCCCAAAGGACAAGCCATTTCCCCCAGTGCCCAGGAGGAAACCAGGACAATCTGAGGCCCCGGGGGCCCCTGGCAGAATGAACCCCACCCTTGCCAGCCTGCTAGGAGACGTGACCTGAAGGGTAATGCCTCCTCAGAGCCGGCTGGCAGCCTGGTCAAATAACCAGCTCCTCTGCACCTCCAAAAAAGCTACCTCGCATAGACTTTAGGCGTGTGTATGTAGCTGTTATTTCCCCGACACAGACTGTGAGCTTCCTGAGGGCAGGGACAGTTTCACTTTGGTCTCTGTATCTCCAGTACTCAGCACAGCGCCTGGCACGTAGTAGGCCCTTAAGAAGGACTTGTTGATTGATAGAATGTAAGCTTTTCAAGGACAGGAAAGGCTTCAGCCTTCCTCCTGTCTCCTGTGCTTATTAGCACCATCCCTGGCGCGTTGTCAGGCTTATTAAATGCTTGCTGAATGACGGACTGATTCATCCCCTCACAGATCTGCTCCTTGTCCTCCAGCACACCCGTCAGTGCCCGCATCTCGGCGACAGCCTTGTGGAGATGCCAGGCCACCTGAAGAGTGTCTCCTGTTTAACTGGATGCAGGGCGCTCCTGGGGCCGGGCTTGACCCTTCTCTTTCCCACCCCACTGGGGTAGCCTTTGAGAGCCTGGGGGCCCCTGGGCCTCTCAGGAGGACCCCAGCGGAGGGATCTGGATTTCTTTGCATGCTGAGTTGTCTTTAGAAGGGGGAGGGGAGGCCTGACCAGAAGGGGCTGGTTCGGGGGAGGGCAAGGGCTCGCAAGCCTGCTGGCCTTCCCAGGCTGCGGGATCATATTCTTCTCCCTCCTCCATAGCTCAGTGAACCTTGTTACTGTCTCCTTATCCTCATCACCTCCTTGTTTCTCACTCCTTTCTTCTCTTCTTTCTTTCTAAACGCAGCCATGAGCCTCTCCAGCACCAAGGTACGGTACAAGTACAGCTTTCCTGTTGACCTTCCCAGTCAGCCCCGGGGGTACCGCTCCTCCTCCGCCAGCCCATTGTACAGGCAGGAAAGTTGAGTCCAGGGTCGTCAGCCAAGGGCGGGGAGGGCAGGCTGTTCAAAGGTAGACGGGTCACCCTACAGTCTGATCTATGCTGGAAGAAACGCTCGCCGCCCAGACTCACAGTCCGCACCATTAGACCACCAATCCTAGACTGGGACAGCAGGAGGGGACCCTCCGAGCCAGGCTTGGGAGTTCGAGGTCTCCCTCTGGAGATCGTTGGGAGCCACTGAATCACAGGCGGCAGCCAAAGCCGTGGGAGCCAAGGGGCTCCAAAGGAAGTGGGGGGAGGGCAGAGCCTTGGGGGCCCCCAGCCAAAGGGATCAAGAAGAACCACGGAAGGAGCCGTCAGAAGGCTGGGAAGAGGGCGGTGAGAATCAGGATGGTGGCAGCCCAGGGAGAGGAAATCATGAAGGAGGAGAGGGGGGTCTGTGGAGGGCTCAAGGACGGGGAGGCCTGAAGAGAGGCCATCCGACTGGGCAGGGAGGGCTTCCTCAGGGACCTTAGAGCTGAGCTGTAACTAGGAATCCGCCTCCAGGACAAATGCCACAATCCTGGATGTGCCTGGGCTGGAGCACTAATCAGGCACATCCTCAATGGATGGGAAGGGAGACAAAGCCTGGGGTGTTCACAGGGCTGAAGGAGGCAGAGGGAGGGCAGGGAAAGAGCTCTCCCCACGCCCCATCTGGAAGCTCTGGGTTCGGGCTAATTATTCTAAGTGCTGAACGCTGTCGACTCTTGGAGACTGTTTCTTCAATTTCAGCACCCTGGTGCAAAGCACCAGCGGCCCTGCCCTTGTTATTCCTGTGCCTGAAAGAAAATAATTTCAGCTGAGGGGCAGAACCAAGCCTTAAGGATTTGGAAGGCACAGTGAGGTGATAGAATGGTGGGTCTAGTGGTAATTGTGTGATTGAGCTTGGCAGCAGAAGGGCGGGGCAGCCAAGGGGGGCGTGGGAGGGTATGTGAGGGGCAAAGTGTTGCTGTAGTTTAAGACTAAGGAGGCCTGGGGATGCTTGGGGGCAGATGGGAAGCAGCCGACACAGGAGAGAAGCTTTACGGGGCTCTGGGACATCCTCGAAGGGATTCCTACACTCATGGGCTCCTACTAGGGTCCTGGGTCTGGAACTAGAAGGGACCCCAGAGACCATCCCCCACTTTTTACAGGTAGGGAAACTGAGGCCCAGGAAGGGGAAGAGACTTACCCAGAGTGACACAAGTAATTGAAAATGGCAGAGCTGGGGATCTGAACCCAGACCCTCTGCTTCCAGATACACTGTACCCTATCTACTGCACCACCCTGGATTGGACCAGGTTCCCCATCTTTGAGGTCCTTTCCAACTCCAGGATTCTTCCATCTGATGAAATTGAGATTGGGGCAGAGCCTGGAGGCTGCGCTGTTTCTGGGTGCTGGGAACCCTGCGGAGCCCATCCCCTCCCGTCCATTGTCCCTGTAGACGGCGGGCACCGTACCCACTTGTGGGTAAGAGCTGGACAGGAGGCACTGATATGGGACTGGGCACAGCAGCCGAAATCCACTGCTAATTTCTCCAGGCCCGTGGCCGGTGAGAACGCCCTGGCAACCTCCCAAAGCGTGGCAGGAGAGTTAGAAAATTCGTGGGTTATTGTTCTTCTGTGACATTTCTGCTTCCAAGCTAGTTGTTTGTTAACAGAAGGCCCTTCTGCCCCAGGTGGGGGCAGGTGCCAGGAAAGAGCGTTCAGATTGCACGGCTACCTTGGATTTGCTGACATTTCACAGTCAGGAGTCAGGGCTCACCTGGCTTTGCCCCTTGCCAAACGTCCTCTGCTCCACGTGGAAGGAAGGCCCTTACTTAAATAAGAAAAAATTATTAGCCCTGAGAGTAGGAGGGTAAATAGAAGCACGATTCATGCAAGGAAGTGGGTGTTCTTCCCTGTCACAGGCGTGGTCAGTGGATCCAGCTGGAGGCCTGGCTGGGCCAGGTGCGGTCGGGGCAAAGGAGAGGAGAGTATGGAGCTGCTGGGTTGGGGTGAGGGGCTACGGGAAGACAGTTGGGCAGCCCCAGTCTGGGCTCAGACAGGACTCACAAGCAGGGCCCATCCTCTGAATTCCGGGGAGCTTTTGTCTTCTAGGCTTGGTTTTCCAGGGTCTGGGCCTTTTGGGGATCAGCTTCAAGCAGTACCCTCGGCCCAGGCAGGCCTCATTCAACAAGGGGTGATGGAGGGGCTTGAAATCCCAGAAAACACTGAGACCCGGACCCTGCCCCCGCCCTGAGCCAGGGGACGTTGGAGGGCCTGAGAGGGCTGGGCTCTGGGCTTACAGGAAAAGATGGCTGGGCTAAGGCCGTAGCAGAGAAGGATGTGTGTGTGTGTGTGTGTGTGTGTGTGTGTGTGTGTGTGTGTGTGT